TTTTTTTTTTTTTTTATTGTTATGATTTAAAATCGAGGTTTTATTTAAAATTTTGCTTTCTCTGGTCTTTGCAGCGCCCAACAATTTGTTGCTGGGGGTGTCTGTAGTCACTCGCACTGAGCGAGCGGCGGTGGGAGTGACAAGACTCGGGGGTGCTGCGCAGCGCCGTGGTTATTGGCATGGGCATCATTGGCGCCACCACCGTAGACAGCAGCAAGATGGTGAAACGGAAGGTGATGACTTCTGCCTTGCGAGATAGGTAGATTGGGTGGGTGCTGTGCGTGCGTGTCGCGTGTGGGGTTATGTCTGCAATGAGTCCGGTACACTCTACGCCCAGCCGCGTTGGTCTTCTTCTGCCAGCAGAGCGAAGAACACTTAGTGAATGTAGAAAAATAGGAGGGGGAGAAGAAAATGCAAAGCGTACGGCCTTGCTCCTCTTTCTTCTGTTTTATTTCCCTCTTTTCCCCGTTGGTTTGCTGTCCCAGCGTTTTCCCTGCCAATTTTTGTGTGTGGGCACCGCAGGCACCATCCGTGCGGGCAGGGCGGGTGCGTGTGGGAGGCGGCGCGTGGGTCGGGGGGCGACAGCGGTAGAGCCCCGCGGCCTCCGAGCACACGGACAAAGGCGAAAGGAAAAAAAAAAATTCCTAAAGGGACAGTAATACATCCGCAGCGTGCGCTAAGGAAGGAAACAGCGAAGGGTGTGGCGTGGTGGGGGGAGGGAGAAAACAACAGCACACGGGAAGGTGACGCTTTGAAGAGAAGAAAATTCATGTCTTGGTTTTTTGTCTCTTCTTCGCCTCTTTCGCGGGAGCTTCTACAGCTACAGTCGCCACAACTCCCCTACCCCACCCTCCACACTCATTCCTCTTTCTTTCCTTCCTTTTTTTTTCTTGTTGGTGGCATTTACGATTGCTGGAAGTGCGAGCTGCAGAAAAAGCTGGGGGGTTCTGAGGAGATTGTTTGTTTTGTGTGACCTTTGCGCGTTGCTAAACTCAGTGATGCCTGGACCGTGGGCGAGAAGAAAAAGAATGGGAGGTAGTAGAGAGGGATGTAGAGGACCTGGGTGCTTTTTTTAAAAAAATTGTTTACAGCATTGGCTATGTGGGTGGAGTAGTGTTACTAGCGTTGGCCATTCAAATGCCACCTACACACCACTGCGATGATACGTCTTGCGACCTCCTCCTATTTGTGCCGGTGCCACAGGCATCATCATGCCATTGACACTGCTCGTTCTCTCTCTCCTTGTCTTCTATTATTAGTCCTGTTGCAGTCACACAGAGAGATAAATAGGGAAAGAGAGAGATAGAAAGAACCCCTGTGTAAGTGCTGGACAGTCCAATGGAAGGCTCACAGGTAAAGGAGCTCATACAAAAATGGCGCGGCCTCAGCAACGAGCTCAAGGACAAGAATACGGAACTTGAGAAGACCCGCGTGGCCCTTAACGAGCTCGAAGCACAGCACGCCAAGACTGTACAAGACTGGGACCTTGAGAAGGCGAACATACAGAATACTATCTCCCTTGTCTGGGCCCAGGTGTCGAATAGAAAGGAGGAGCTTGTGCGAATTGAGGAGGAGACGAAAGATCTTCAGCGGAAAGTGGACGAGAGACGGCTGCGCAACGAGGAACACTGGCGTGTTCTTAACAGGCGTAAGCAGATTGTTACGGAGCAGCTGCAAAAACTTGAGGAAAAGGATAAAGGTACAAGGGAACGACTGCGCGAGTTCCGCGAAGTTCGGGAGGAAAGTGGGAAGCAGCTCCTCTCTGCCATCCGCAAGCTTGAGGACACCGATCAACAAGAGCAAGTAGACCACCAGAAGAAGACGCGGCAGATGCAGAGCAAGATTGCCGAAATAGAGGCATGCATCGATGCTGAGAGAAAATCCTGGGCGCTGGAAATGGCGATGCGTGAGTGGAATCAGAAAAATGATGCGCGAAGGTGGCTCTGCGAAGAGGCGAGTGTTGCCGAGAACGACAAGAGTATGTGGGTGGCAATCGTGAAGGAGTCGAACAGTCTTCAGTGCGAGGACCAACTCAAAGAAATAGATTCCCTTCGTGCCCTCCTCTCTTGTTAGAGAATTCATTCCCCCTCGACCCTCCTCCTCCTCCTCATCCTCCTCCCCTCAGGGAAAAAAAAAGAATAGAGAGGGTGAGAGAAAAGGAGGAATTGGTGGCGTTGCGATGATGCGTGCGGCGTATATCTGTCTTCACAGGCGGTTTAGCGCGGGGGTGGTGCGCAGCCCTCCGTTAACAGACACATCTCTGTGCCTACCTCAAGACACTGAGCCTTCGTTGGTGTTTCTTTATTTACTGGTCGCTAGATATTTTAGATGCTTCACTGGGATGTTCATTTGCGTCTGTCTGGGCTATAGCTCACTCCTGTCGGACTCTTTTTTTCTGTCAAACCTTTGGGGAGCTTCTCTTGTCGCTCCTTTACTGACACTGCGCGTTCTGTTCTCCTATTCTTTTTTTTTTTTTT